ACAGAGTTTCACTGATGAAAACAGGCAGCCTTGATCCAAGCTTGAGGTTCATATGGAGGAAAACAAACAGACGAAGCTGAGAGAATCATCAGTTGAGGACATGAGTTACTAGATGCAACAAATCAGATCATCATGGTCAAAGAAGCACAAGAGAAACACATTAAAGGTTATGCTGTAGCCTGAGCTCCTGTTTCAGTAAAACATCTGTAGCATGAGGCATGCAGGACTGCAGGCTGTAGCCAGAGCATTATATATGAAATTAATTAAACCCTAAGTTTGGTATTGAAGATCTCTTTTATTAAAAAAAAAAGTCCAAAATGTGCTTTGATAACAGAATACTTCTAACAGACCACTTAATTAACATCTGGCTCCCTACCCTACAACTTTGGTTTTGAATATGGGCGTATTCCTGGCAGTAACATTCATCTGACGTGTAGCAGTGAGCACCACTTATATTCCCAAGTCTATAAGCACTGAAAAATGAGTAATGTAAATTACTTATTTTTGAATGGATCAATAATCTAAATATTGAACAGTTGAGAAATACGCATTTCTAAATGATTGAAAAAAGAAAAATGGTCACTGATTCTCCAGCAATTCAGTTTTCCAGAGCAGAGCCACAGAACCTTTGTATGCAGCTCTTGGGGCTTTCTAGTCGTTACATCCATTGAATATAAAACTGTTGCATTGCAGGTAAATTTTTCTATTGCTGTCCTTGCCTTGATATCCCTTTGAGTAAGTGGTTGGGGAAGAAAAGGCTTGGGGGGTGGGTGGGTGTTTGTGAGTTAGCTTATGCCATAGACTGGTTAATGTTTGTGGTGAAGGTGAGTGTGAAGCACATGCCCTGGAATATGAATGTTACTGGGAATTGCTGGGTACCTGGAGAGTTAAATCACTCTGCTTTTTGGGTCATGTGCGTTGCTACCCTGTATGTACTGGTACCCAGTGAAACATAAACTGCTGCTGTGTGATGCTCTTTCCTAACACTTGCCTACTCTTTCTGGAGCTGCCACTCCTCAGTACATTTTAAGAGCTTTGCAAGAGGTGAGCAAAAAAAAAAAAGCCTGCTAGTAACAGCTGTTTTCTGAATTTTGTTAACAAATCTAAGTGTAAGGAAAATCACTTTTGGCAAAAACACTTTGCTTTTTTTTTGTTTAAACAACTAAAAATCCAAGAGCAATTCCATCTTTCTGAACAGCTCTGAAATTACCTAAGATGCTGGTGGCTCTGTTAGCAATTCCCAGCTCTTTTTTTCAGAAGCTTTTAACCTGATTTCCTAAGATCATGTAACCACATCATCAGTTCGTTTGCTGCGTCCCTATCCCTGCAACCAAGCTGAGTCCAAGGACTGAGATTGAGAAGGTGCTGATCACTTCACTGTGTACATTACAAAACCATCCTTCCCTTTTGCCCTGCTCCTGCCGGCTGGAGTCTTGTGAATTTATGAGCTGCCAAGCAATGAGGGATGCCATCCTTTGCTGACGCGGGTTGTATTTACTGAAGAGGTGGTGAGATCTTCGGAAGTCTGGAAAAGTCTGAATTCTTGATTAGTTGTCACTAGGTGGCTCAAAGGTGAAAGCAGCAGTGTCTTAAGGGAAGTAAGCAGTTGTTGAGCGTTCCGGAAGAGCACTATTTAAAAACTCAGGCTTGTGGTTGGAGACCTCTGAGCAGCAGTGGCAGAGCTTAGCTGCCCTTTTTGCCTTCTGAGATCACTTAAAAAAAAAAAAAATCATAAAATATGGCCTGCCAGCAAACATTTGAATTCAGAAGGCACAGCAGCAGAATTCTGTCGTGCTCAGCTTCTGCAGTGACATTGAACTAGACAAGAATTGCTTCAGAGTGTTTTAATTTGTTATGGTATACATACATGTTCTTTCCTATTATCTCATATATATTTCAATTAAGCCTGAACACAGAAGAAAAAGTAAAGCAGTGAGCTGTTGCTGCCCAAGGGTTAGGCATGAGGCTTTTAACTGTGGAAATGTCATTTCCAAGTTGAAATTGTTCAAAGTGAGTTTTCTGGTGGGGGTTTGAAACTGTAGAGCTTCAAAAAAATTGCCGAATGATGATTTTAATGCTCACGTTTGAGGAGCAAAACAAGAAGCAAATACCCCTGTGCATCGCTGGTTAGTGGTGGAGTATGCTCCGTGGCCTTCCAGGGATGCCGAGGGCAGGAGCCAGCGGTGGGATGACGGCTTGAGTTGCAGAGTTCAGGAAGTGCTTGATGCCCCTCAGTCCTCACTCTATTTTCCTTACCTTCAGCTGGCTCTTAGGATTAATTTGCTTTATGAGCTTTCCAAAGCACCTCGCCTTGGATGTGCTGGCATGCCTGGGATGCTGCCCATCACGGGCAATTTCAGCTCATCAAACTCCACCAGGCAAGGCTGCTGCTGGGGTACCTGGGAGTTGTATTTTTCTCATTTAGCTTCATTTTTGGGCTCTCTGCTTCCTCAGCAGATGGCATTTTTATCATGTTTTCAGAAAGTCCATATGGCCTACAAGAGAGAGTATCTCTTTAATTGTAAAACATGACCACCTGTTCTGATTTTAATGAATGCAGTGAGCATTTGTCTTCATATATCTACTTAAAAATAGCTGCTTCAATTGAATTAAAAAAAAACTCAATTGGGCACCAACACTTCGGCTGCTGAAATAATCAATTAATAATTAAGTGGCTAATTTTAGAACCCACTGGCCTTGCCCATTCCCTCGGACTTGTTGTGATCAGAGCAGACAGTGATTGATTGCCCTGCCAATGCCGAGAGGCACTTGTGGTGCTGGGGCCAGATGCCAGCAGGCTTCGAGCTGTTTATTGCGAAATTTAGAAGGTGAATGCAACTTTGTGTCTCTGCTCTGCAAATGGACTTGTCTTTCCTGCTCTAGCTCTTTCCTCTCTGCGTTGCTCCAGCTGCTCACAAGCAGCCATCTGCAGGTACCCCTTTTCCTGCCACCCTCTGAAGGATGAAACACGTGCTCAAAAGGTATCCTAATGATGGGCCAGCTGGGGAGGAGGTTGAAACTGTGAGCAAGAATAGGCTTGAAAGGCTTATCTGCTATCTGGCTCCTAATAGAAAGCCCAGCTAGAATCATTCTGCTTATTAAAATAACAACTGCTAGTTAACTGTTTCGTAGCTCCCACAGCAGGTGTGCTGGCCGGATGAGAAAACGTGGAGTTTTCTGGCTCAAGTTTTCAGAGAGGTGGAAGGAACCAGGATGCCCAAATCTTGTTAAAGGAGTGTTAACACTTAACTCAAAGTCCTTTTGAAAATTAACCCCTTTATTGAACAAGCCTGTTGCAACATCATCTTGTTCTAAAGCTAATTAAAATGCCCAAATGGTAGCAATGCTCTGGGATTTTGGTTAATAGTGTTGGCTGTTCAGAGGGTTAATATTTTGGAGGTAGAAGACACAGGAGCATTTGAAAGAGTGCTTGGGGGTACAGTACTTCCCAGCATTTCAGTGCTAGCAGTAACAGGTGTAATAGCTGCTGGGTTTCAACACAACAGGGTAATCCAACAGTTCGGTGTAAGTGGTGGAGAAAACTTGGTGTGGCTGCTTGGAGTGTCTGCTTTTACACGACGAGGAGGGAGAGAGCTGGAAACCTCTTACTGGAGAAGTCTCTGATCCCGTCATATTATGCAGAGATCAAGATGCTGGAAGCAGTTGGAGGGGAAGGCGACTTGCCTGCCTGCCTCATTTTACTGAATGTGTTTCTGACACAGCCCCCGCGTCCTGCCACAGCCACCAATTAGCCCATTCATACAGGGGAGAAGCTACCCTTGCTGGTCTGACAGTGGTTGCTGTAACCTGTTCATTGAAAATCCAGTTATCTCTCAAACCACATGGGATTTTGAGACAGCTGGGTGTTGTTTGTACGACTGAGAGCCCTGCTTTGAAATGCTGTGCAAATACAAAAATAACCGTAGCTATTGGCATTTAAATTCATTTCCATGTAATCTTTGTGATAAACTTCCATTGGTGGGGTGTTATTTCAGTGGGAGGAGGGTCAGAGCAGTTTTCTGCTGACGTCTGGGTATCGCAAGTAGCGTGGTGAGAAAGGCATCCGGCTCAGTTTCCTTGCACGTGTGTGGCCTTCCCTCCCTGTGGTTCCAGAATAGCAGGGGATAATTAAATGAAGTTCAACATTAAAGACTGAAAGTTGGGAAGGGAGAAGCTTATTAACCTTGTTGAGCTGGAAAGAGCGCTGAGGGTGTTTGGGGCTTAGGTCTCATGGGGTTTTCTATTCTTATTTTTCTGTTTTCTTGGGAATTGACATTTAGTTTTGCAGAAAGTAAAATGTATCATTAATTCTGTTGCCATCCCTTTTATGTGGTTGTGGCACTGCGGCACATCTGTGAATTAAATCTTAAGAACTGGGGTTTAGTCTGTTCTCTCATTAGCAGAAATGCTAATTCTCTCTTGATTGCTAATAAAGTCAAAGGAGAGAAGCAAAAAACAAAAGTATGGAGGTTACCCATTTAGAGTAAGCATGAGAAATTTAATCCCTATTTTCCATGATCCAATTTAAGTAGCAGACGGACTGGGTTTTTAGTCTCGAGTTCTTCAACAGTTTTCCAAGAGGGGACAGCTTGAGGAAGGAGGAGGGGGTGCAGGGAATTAGAAATGGCAATTGGAGTGGCCCGGCAGGGAGCCAAGAAGGCAGGCAGGAGAGGTGAGAGTCCTTTTAGCTGCTGGCTTGCACATGGGCCAAATGGGGTTTGCGGGAGGACATGTGTATGTGCATACACATGTGGATGCACCTTTTTCCCTTGCTGACTCTTTGAAAGGCTGCTTGGACCCTTCCAGACTGAATTTTGGGGCCGTTTTAAGAAGCCTGCTTAAACACTCCTTTACTATAGTGCAGACTGTTTATCCTAGACAGAGCTTTAAGTGAGATGCGGAAGTTGCAGGCAGGACTTTTATTGTGAGCTGACTATTAGAGGTTCCGTACATCCTTCCCAACTGATTAAATTTTGCCCCTTTTTCTTTCTCATCTCCAGATCACTGTGTTCACTACTACGATCTTCGCAACACTAAGCAGCCAATCATGGTGTTCAAAGGGCATCGCAAGGCAGTCTCCTACGCAAAATTTGTGAGCGGGGAAGAAATCGTCTCTGCGTAAGTATTGCCTTTTATGTAGGCTAAAAACTTTGTAGCCCTTGCTTTGTGGCACTCTTCAGAGCCATCACGCAAGTTCACCTGCGTGGGTGGGTGCGCTTGCTGGCTGCTGTGCTTTTGGGAAGCAGATAGTTGCTTTTTTTCCTAAGACAAAAATAGAAATTTATTCCTGGTGTCACTTGGCTCTGCTCTGTTTTGTGGAGCTAAAATGATTAAGAGGAATATGAAGACAACTAGATGCAGCTCCTGACCACAAGCCCCAACTTTGGGAAGCTGCAGGTGGACTCTCCTTTTACAAAGTGCTGTGTGTGCTGAGAATGCTCCTGACCAGAGCTCTGCTGTAGAGAAGGCTGCTGGCAGAGCCCTGAGGATAGTAATCTGCAGTAAAACCCAGCTGATGAGTGACAGCAGTGATCAAATGGTACTGCTATGTCTGAAGAGGAGGTTTAGCCACAGCCTGAAAACAACTTCGGTAGGACTGACTGATCTGTTCTCTGGTAATTTATTAATTTGCTCCGTGAAGGCTCTTTTTCGGATTATACTTGGGTTAGAAAGTAGACAAGGAGAAGTTGTGTTTTGTGGTCTTAATGGCGTGCAGCTTTGCAGCCAGGGTAGGCCATAAGGTCTGCTGTGGAGGCCCTGAAGAGTAATATTCTACAGCTTCTGTTCAGTTACATGGCCAGATGTGTCTGCCCCAAAGCCAGATGTGGATGCCTCAGTTCTAGGTAGGTTTTCAATCACATGGGAGTGAGCGTGTCTGTCAGATCACATAGTGAAAGGTTTGAATGACTGGCTACAAGCCTCTTCAATAAACCAGAGGTGAGCCCCTCTAACGCGGTGGGGAAAATGCAAGCAACCTTGGGGGGCTGCAGGGGAATCTTTGATCTCAGTGTGCCCATGTATAACACCCAAGGGCAGCAGGGATGGATCACAGGGGTAGATCTAGTCCCAGAAAGTACGCCTGCTGCCTTGTACTGAGCCAACGATTATCCAGCTTGGCTCTGTCCCGTGTTTTCACACAGTTTGCTCTAGAAGCGTGGAGCCAAAGCAGAGCATTTTAAGGTGTATTCAGGCTGCTAGTGAGTTACGCTGAGCTGTGTGATGGAAGATTCCCTGGTAGCTTCTGGTACTGTTTATATTTAATCAGCTCATCTCTTCTTATTTCCATTAACATTATAACTCTATAAGGGTGCAAATTCATACCTAGACACAGAGAAAATTAAATTTAATGCTTTGAACCAAATCTGGGTAAGAAGGAAGTGTTTAACAGAAGCAGGAGGAGGCTGAGAATGTTTTACAGACATGATCAAGTGGAGCATCATCTATGGAATGTTTCAGGACAGAATGGGCCTGTCCTGCTTGAGCCAACCATCTGAGAAAGCTTATCCCACAGTCTTGGGAGGAATACTGATAGAACTGTCAGCCTTGGACAGGCAACAACAGGGTGAGGGGACTAACGGGAGGGTTTACCTATCTTTTCCTGCATGAACAGAAAGAAATGTCAGAGCGAGCAGATTATTTTTCGTATCTTTCTTTTGCAAATTGAGGAGAGGAGACAGCAGTAGTTGATTCCCAAAAACCAAGCACTGATTTCTTTTAAGAAAAAATTATATGTATACTCAGATTCTCTAGATTTCTAGCTAAAGCTGTTTTATAGATTGCATTGATTTACTTTGCCTTGTAGAGTTAGGTTTTGACCTCAAGGGTGTTCAGAACTGCCTGGTATTTAGCACAACACATTGATTGCAGTGCTGATTTACAGAGAGACAGATTTAACAGAGCAGCACATCCATGATATTTTTTTGGAGAGGGTATGAAACCGGAAGAGCCGTGTAACACCAGTAGGATCAATGGCCTTTTCCTCTCCTTGCGGTCCAGTGGCAAATAACTTTCTTCTTTTATGGCATGCTTATCCTAAGCAACGCAAACATGGCTAGAGCTTGATGGGAATTTAACAGTAAAAGCACTCTGTTAGTAATAGACTTTAAGTGTTTTTATTTTAATGAAGAGATCTAGAATGTATGCTACTAAAATATAGAAGTTAAGTGCTTATATATACAAGGTCTTCCTGATGGGTTAGCTAATAGCAGAAGCTGTCACAGGAATCTGACAGCTTGTAGACCAGGGATTAGTCTCTTGCTGCCTTACCCTGCCTTCAGAAAAGTTTAGTTTCTAGGAAACTCTGAAACTTTTAAAAGCAGCATTTTAAAAATATAGCTGCCCTAAAAGCACAGAAGGCACCTCCCTGTACTTGTGGACTGAAAAAGCAGTAGTATATACCTTTTTGCCATTTCTATGAGCTATGCTGCTACTGTGATGGTGAGGACAAGGGAAGGGAAAGTGAACAGGAATGTAGGGCAGTGGTGGACATAGAACAAGCATCAGGCAGAGAAGCTGAATACTCTGTTTGTAGGGCTGTCTGTGGTCAAGACCTGGGATGAGGAAAGCACTCCTGCTTAAGTCACAGTATTACAGATAAAGTTCATACCTTCCTTCTGATCTGACCTCATACTATTATTACAAATGACTAACAAATCCTGCTGCAGCTCCCTTATCGCTCCTTTGTCATTCCAACTGTCATTGAGGGCTGAGATACGGTTTTTGCAGTATAGCACAAGGTGCATCTCTACTCTTTTGTGCTATATTTTTAGGTAAATGTGACATTGGTGCAGGGCTAATTTGTTATATCATTGGTAATATTTGATGGATATTGGGTGGGAGTTTTTTTCCCTTCGACTCTTAACATTCAGAAAGCAGCAAGGTTGGGTGATGTGACTTGTAAGAGGGGAGCGTTACCTACCTCCCTTTCCTCCCACCCAGGAGGCTGACAGGTCCTGCTCTCAATCTCTTTCAAATTTAAGATCAGAACAGCACTTCCCATTTCCTCAAAGGTGGCTTCACAGGACTCCGGTCCCACCACATCAGTGTTTCTTCACCTACTGTGGCGTGTATTGCTGTAAGTCAGCGAGTGCCAGAATATCAGAGCATGGCGATTGCTAGAGAATAACACCTGGGAAGTGAGAGGGGCCGTGTCCCCTCAGGTTTGGGGGAAGAAATTAATCCTATATTTCTTGGAAATCTAGGATCTTCCTATTGCAGTTGAGCTCTGCCAGGCAGAGGAGACTACCTCCACCTCCTTTCTTTTGCCAAAGGGAAAATGTTTGCTCACAGTAAATAGAAAAACATTTTGAAGGCAGGTATGTTTGCACCTGGGGGAACAATGGAAAACATCAATTTTGATTTAATCCCAACAGAGTTTGTAGATTTTTAATAGTAATATTTAGCTTTGCTGCCAAGGTGAAAAAAGTGGAAGCTTGAGATCTGTATTCATGCAGTCTCAATTACGCATGAGAAAACCACATCGTTTTAATGCTAATAGCAACTCTGAGCCCCCATAGGTTTTTATAAGCTGCTCCTTGGTATTGGACAGGAGGAAGGAGAACATGCTTTCAGGACAGCTGGAGAGGGAGGAGGCTGCTTCCTACCCAAGTCCTGTAAAGGCATGAATGAGTGTTGTAGCCAGCATGGAGAAGGGAACAAATTTTGTCCATACTGTAGAAGTTTAAAAAAAAAAAAAAAATATTTGGTATGTCCTGGATCTGTGAGGATCTGAAGGAGGCAGCGATGGCCCAAAGGCTGTACAGTTCAGTGGATGACTCAGTAACTGATAGGAGAATGGAAGAGTAATACTTGGGGGAAGTTTTTTATTCAAACATGCAATGTGTTTTGACAGGCTTCTAAAATAATGTGATACCTTTCTGAGCTCAAGCTGAGTTGCATATGATTGAAAGTGGGATAAATCTCCTGGAAGTGCACTAAGACTTCCTGTGTTTACATTGCAAGTAGGGTGTTAAGGAGCAGGGTTGCAAGCGAGGAGTACCTGCCATATGGCAGCAGGGTAACTTTAGGTATTGTTTTCAGGTCAACAGACAGTCAGCTGAAGCTGTGGAATGTAGGGAAGCCTCACTGCTTGCGCTCCTTCAAGGGTCACATCAACGAGAAGAATTTCGTAGGGCTCGCATCCAATGGAGACTACATTGCCTGTGGTGAGTAGAGCAGCCATCCTGACAAATGCTAATGGGACCCCTCAGAGCTGGTGCCTCTCCAGCTGCAAAGCACACCAGTGGTTGTACTACGTAGCTGTATGGGCTTTTTATTGGAGGATTATTCTGAACTTCCACCCTCATTCCCTTCCCAGGGAATGGCATAAGGAGCCCTGGCCTAAGGGGATCTGTACTTGGTTTTCTCCCATTTCGGATGAGTTCTTCATATATGACGATTCAGACTTGCTGTCACCAAAAGTCAACTGCTAATGTAGCCACTGTTGATATCACTTACGTCTTTCAAGTTTATCAACTGACACATCCTCATGCATCTTTCTAAGGAAGGGCAGTAGCCTGGACCGCACGAGTGGTCCTCTACTTGTCACTTGGTATGGCATTCTGCATGGTGAAGCACTAATGCCCTTATTGTGGACAGCTCCCTAGAAGACTAAATCATCCTGAAGCAGTTACCCCTTTGGCAGTTTCTGTCTTTTTGCCGCTTAAGTTGGACTGTTGAACCTCTGTAAATTCACAGTTCTTGGTGGGAAAGCAGTGACAGGCTAATTGCTGTGGGATGAGCAAGACAGCTGTGCCAGCACTGAAGGGAGGACCTTAGCTTGTGTATACTCTGATCTCTGTACAGCTTGCAATGCAGAAATTTGGATGGATTTCTAAACAAAGCCTGCACACTGTCTAGTCTCTCTTACTTAAACCTCCACAGACCAAACTGTCGTACTTGATTATGGCAAGCAAAACTGACACTGCTACCTGCCTCAGAGCTGTAATGCCGAGAAGGCTGGGTGTAGCAGTGTTTCATGTGGTAGCACAGATGCTCTGCTCTGCCCTAGGGAAGTTATGGGGGACGGTTGGGATCCTGTATGTTTTGCAAGTGCGCTGCATACTGCAGTTGTCTTGTAATAAAACCTGGTTCTGTTATTAAGCATCATGAAAGTTTGCTGTGGAGCACTCCCAGTTGCCAAGGCACCATGAGCGTGATGATAACTACAAGGAGGAAATGTCTGGTCTCACCTTAAACAATGAAAGAGCTAAGAAGCCTTATTTCTGTGCCTGCTACCAGAACCTAATCTTGTGGTTTTTTTTCTTATTTTATTTCTAGGAAGCGAAAATAATTCCCTTTACCTATACTATAAGGGCCTCTCAAAGACACTGCTGACGTTCAAGTTTGATACAGTCAAAAGTGTCCTGGACAAGGACCGGAAAGAAGATGACACAAATGAGTTTGTGAGTGCTGTATGCTGGAGGGCACTACCAGATGGGGTAAGCTTTCTGCTGAGGCAGCCAGCCAGGTGTGAAAGGAATGCCTCCTGCTTTCTCATGAAATAGCATTGCTGAGGGTTTGACTGCACTTGGTATTCCCATTTATGGGTATTGCCGATCGGCGTGAGAATGTGAAGATCTGCAGGGTAACTGAAAGACTGGGGGATGCTGGAGGAGGAGGGACTGCTGTGCTCTTAACTCTTTCACCTGGGTGTTTAAATTTCTCTACTTGGAATGAAATCCCAAAAGCAGCATTGTATTTCTGGCACTTATGTTTTTTGTGGATACATTAGCAGGTTTCTTTTGTTGCTTTAATGAAGGCACCTGCAGATACTCACTGTGGAGCCTTATCTCAGTGTTACTGTGTCTATATGGACTTGCTTGTTGAAATACAGCCCCCGTGTTTAGATGAGTAGATATGTAAAGGAGGTGAGCCCAGGCTGCAGTCACTTCAATGACTGTTCCAGTGACACTTAATTCATATACATAGCATGTGTACTAATGCTGCAGGCAGACCTGGCGCAGCTTTTGTGAGAGTGGCCTTTCGGCACGAGGCTGCTCAGGAGAACAAAATGCTGCTTTTAAATTCAGAGTGCTCTTGAAAACCTTGCATAAAAAAAAAAAAACTTGAGCAAGTAACTCTTGTATGTACAAGGGTTTGCAATTGTACAAGGATACTTAATGGGCTTGTTGGGAGGGGGAAGAGAGCAGCTCATCCTAAATACAGTCTTCCAAGTAGCTAAAGTGGAACGTTGCCTAATTGATGTCCTGAGATGTTGCATTCATAAAGAGGGTGTTTTGGAAGGGTAACATCTACCAATCTGTTTTTGTATGAAGAAACTGCCCCCACAACTGTGATTCAGATTTAGGAGGATTTGGTATACACAGATGTCACATCTCAGATGAAGAGTGGCTGTTAGAAGTTGCGTAATCAGTCTTTGTCTTTCTGCTGAATAAAAAAATGTGCTGCAGGAACCTGTGTGTCCAGAAACACCCTTCCCTGAACTTTCTTCACTGCAGTGTTTCTGTGTTGGGTTGTCCTGCCCACTGATGTCCTGCGCAGCTTTTCTACAGACAACAGACTAACAGTGATGTCTCACCCCTGGTGTTATTTCTGTTGCTGTCTGCTCTTACCAGCCTTTTCTCTGATTAATGTGCTTTACTCTGATAGACCTTCTGCTTAAGTGACTGAGAAACTTTTGAGCAGTCACCAAGGACTGTCAAGCAATTCTTCATAACCAGTATGAAAAAATATTGTGCGAAAATGTAATAGTTAAGTCAGACCCATCAAGATTGCACCAAATAACGTTCAGGCTTCAGTCCATTAAGCAGCATTCAGAATCCATCTCTATTCTGATCATTTTTTTTCCCCCTCATTCTTCTGTTTTTCCCTGGGCTTCTTCTAAATTAGCCTTTCTCCTGTGGCAGCCACAGTACCTGGCTCTCGTTTGTAAAGAAAGCAGCAAAAAGCTGCCTGTGATCTGAGAGCCCCTGAGTGTTTTGCTTCTGTGTTTTTACCTCTGCTTGTGGTGCATGCCATCCTGCTTTACATACTGAGCAAGCAGCCTCGCTTGCTTTTGCCAAGAGGCCTTAATGCTTCCTTGCACCATATCTCCAATCCCCCCAAGACAAGAAGTACTCTTCACCGATGCAGCCGCACATTTCTCTTCACTCTTGTACCGGCGCAGCGGTCCTCTCCGACCTAATTGAGACTTTGTTCATGTTCTTAGGAAATTAAATTACTGCACAGCCAAAGGTCACTTATGTCCACAAAGTCTTGCTCAAACGATGAAACTTTTATTCTCCATTTTGATAATGTTTCTTGAATTTGGCATAAAATTTTTCAAATTAGCTTCGTATATATAGGCTTCCCTAAAAGCTGGCGTGTTTTTTAATCATGCTCAGATGAACTAGAGAAGGCCTTTGCCTTGCAGTGCTGTCAGCATCTGTGGGAATCAGGGAACCCACAGCCTATTTCTGGCTTAATTGCAGACTTTGATCCTGGGTGAGTCACTCTGCCTTAGTTTCCTAATTATAAGAGTTACCACACCTACCTTTCCCCACTGGTGTGCCTGCTCTGCTGAAGAGCGTGTGCATCGAAGCAACTCCAGCCTAGCAGCAGCACAGAGCCCAGCACAGGCTGGGAAGCCTGCCCCAGAGCCGCAGGGAGCATGGCGAGTAAGCTTTATACTGTTATGGGTGTGCTGTTCTCCGTGCCTTGCTGGGCTGGTTCAAAGCCATCTCGCTTATCTCCATGCCATGGTCACTGGGCAATAGCTTCAGTTTGCCACCTGGAGTGTTTCCAAGGGGGGAGATGCAGGCACTGCGTGCCAGCCTTTCCCCTGGGCTCCCTGGTGGAGCAGACTCTCCTTGGTTTCCCTATCGTGTTGCTCTCAAGGATTGTTCTTTAATTAACCTTTTGAGATGAGATGAGTAAGTTTCAGATCTGTCAGTTATCTTGGGAAGCATGAGTACATGTACTCCTTCACTTCATGCACTTAAGTGCAAAATCTCAGATCCTAATTAAAACTTAACTAAAACTTTCAGATGAAATGTCATTGATTCTTTCTTAAATCTATTTTTATGTAATTCAAGCTTTTACTTCCTCCTGAGCCAAAGTCAAGCTGTGCCAGCATCCCTTGCCAGAACCCGTCTTTTTTCTTCCCTCTGCGTTGGTTTTCCTTCACTCATGAAGATGCAGGGACCTTTTTGCTAGAGTTGTCACCTTTCCAACCATAGAGGTCCAGCCGGCACCTTCTTTCCATTGTGTGTCAAAGCCATAACGAGGGAGAGAAATTGTTCTCTGTAAGTACTTATTAGCATTTTGCATCAGGCTTACTCACTTTTCAACTCTTAAGTGATGTTTAGAAATAAGCACTAACTTGTAAGTGAATAGTTTTGTTAGATTCTTTTGAAAAAAAAACAAGCAAACAAAAAAACCTCTCAGCAGGTACACCAGGAAGCAAACCTTTGCTCTGCTTCTTTCAGTGCAGTGTTTTGGACAAAGGTAAATAGGCTGTTCAGTATTTTTTTAAATAGCACTTATTTAGAGTTTGTGGGGAAAACCATTTCTCACTTCTCATTTTACTCTAAAAATTGATCAATATTTAGAAGTAGAGAAAGCTTCAGGACATTTTTGGCCTAAGTGACCTGATAAACATGAGTTAGAGATGCATTTCAGAACCTTCCTTGAACCAAATCCTTTTATTTCCTAAGTCAGGGATTTTATAATATACCTGTGCCATCCTTTGTTTCTGGCACCTCGGCAAGATTTAGCCAGCTTGATTTGAAACATGAATCTGGTCTTGAGATTGAAAAATACATTCTTCTATTTCATTAGCATGTAAGCAGACGATGCCCTTGCATATAGGGATGCCATTGCATATAGGGAAAGCAAATTATAGTAGTGGTAGTAGCTCATTGCAGCTAGGTGGGTAGAGAGGTTTTATCTGTCTTGGGAGGGTCACTCCAGTTTTGTCTAGGTACATGGAGAGTAGCTGGAGGAGATTGGTTTGTACTTCGTTTTCCCTTATGTGTCCTACATGATGTTTTCCCCTTCCCTGAAGGTGACACCTTTCATTTGGACCTGCTTTGCCATACTGCAGAGTTTGAGATGTGCCTCATACAGCTGTGTTAAATAATTGCATCTCAAGTAGCCCCTTTCCCAGTCATGGTTAGTGTTTCTCAGAAAGAAGCTGTCAAAAGAGAAACCAAGGCTGAACTTGCTCCCAGGATAGCAAAAAGGTATTACTGCTGAGCACAGAAGCAATTTGATTATGTAGATTAAGCATGGCTCAATCTATCATAATCACTGTAAAGAAGCCATTTAATTTTGTACCTGCTTGCATGAGTATTCATTACTGCCGATAAGCAGGTTAGCCGGGGAAAGATTTCTCAAGCAGAAACGTCGAGGCTTTGATACTGGTAAGGAGATGCAGATAAGAGCAGGAGAATGCCATGTGAATTAGTTTAGGTAAAACTTTATTTGTTTTTTCCTTTTAGAGGGGTAAGGAAGGGAAATCCATTGAGAACAGCGCTGCAGTGAGCGGGTGGGTGGTGGTACGTGTTGGATGGATGCAGAGGTCTCCTGGCACTTGAGAGGAAGGATCTCAGAGTGGTGACATGGCAGTGCTATGAAAGCATCTCCTCTGCCTGACAGGGGAGAGCGGAAACCTGTGTATGTGTGTTCTCACCTCGTCACTCTTCAAAAGTAATTTTAATTTAGGCGAGTTTCAAAACAATCATCTAGCCGTGAGTGAGAGAAGCAGGCTGTGGGACTCCAGACTTGAAGTTGCCTTTAGGCACTGTCATATGATGGAAGTATCTTCATAATTAGTCTTGCATCTCTGAACTTCTCTTTGTTAATCTTAGAGGATGGAAATACTCCCTTCAAATAGGTTTTTGGTGCATCTCTTCAGAAAATGAGCTTTTCTTCTGTTTATTTTTCCTTTCCTCTGAACATTCAGCTTTGTTTCTTAATGATGTCTGGCTCTTTAAATGGAAACCTATAATTGTACTGCAATAAGCTGGTCACTTAATAGGGCTGTAATCTTGTTCACTGATGAAAAGTAGCCATCCTTTGTTTCCCAGTAGCCTAATAAATGGTACACAACGTACACAGGAGCTGGTCAGGGACTCTGATAATTCACAATCAGCAAATTGGCTCCCTTCACTGGAATTAATTTAGCCAATACAGATTATTTTGGGAAGTGATTCATTGCCATTTTAAAGCGCTAATTAATTTGGATGACTTATGAACATTAAAAATGAAACCTCCTTTGTCATTCCCAAATAACCAAGTGCTTATTCAGTGTCATTCTTAAGTAACTTGTATCGACTGTAACTGCATCTCTTCTAACTTGAAATATGAATTCCAGTGGGGTTTTGGGGGGAAAACAAGTGTAAGACCTGATATTTTTTTTGTTCTGCTTTGCTGCTGAAATTTTAAAGGCTCAAAATTGGTGAGAATTTTGACTTCCAGCTTCAACTCAGTGTTGTCTTATTTTTGCAGCATCCTCAACTAGTTGTTCAGATGTCAGTTAAGGTATACCTAGGTAGTAATCTAAAGCTTACAAGATAAATGCCTGCCTGGAGTGATCAGACCCAAGCTGTCCCTTGCCTGCCTCTGATACCAGCTACTGGCACAGGCAGCAGTGTGAGTAGCTCCAACCACAGTATTTTCAGGGAGGGCACTACTGTTTTCTGACTCATCCTTTCTTTCCTAGACTAGGGCTGGCCTGTAGCATTCATGTGCAGCATCTCCCAAACCAGTATTCTTGCAGGTTATTCTCCAGAGCATTACCAAGCTACTGTTTCATCCTGGAAATGTGGTGGTCTTCGTCTTCTCTCTCATGGTTGAAATGAACAGCAGTTTACAGGAGGCTGAGAATGAGCAGCTTTTAAGAAAAGCAAGGAGATGTGACTTTGATCAGGTTTATTCTACTGGGTGTTCTCCTCTTCCTGAAAATCTTCAAAGATTTTCCTCCCTCTTGTGGAAGCTGTCTAAGCCCCGTAGCGTGCGTGCTGTGAAGCTCGCAGCTGTCTGTGTGATGGCTTCCCACTCCTCTTGACATGCCCTCTGCTCTCTGACCATTGGGAATGCTTTAAACAAGAAGTTTTCTTTGGCTTTCATTACTTTGCTGCTTCACACTTTCCTTAGGTAGTAAATATATTTTATTTCTCTTCCGTCCTACCTTTTTCACGTCTATTCCTCCCTTACTCATTTGAAAATCTCAAATCTTCATTAAAAACAAGTGGAACCCAGAATATCAAAAGCTACATCGTACATCATGGATGCTTGATTCCCCCCCTCCCCCCCCCAAGTCTTAGCATATGCGTTATGTATACTGACACATACTGTATATATTGTTTTATATGCTGCTTGAAAACTATTTTCAGATGCAGAAAAATTTCTGCCTTGCAGATAAAAGATGTCACAAGTTCAGTATGTATGCTTCTTTGTGCTGAACATATACTTTCATACCCATATCTCTTCAAATGCTCATTTTGGGCTCTTTTTTTCTGTGGCTAAAGAGAATTAATTAAAAAATACTCAGGTAACTAACAATATTTTACTCCTCATCACAACCCTTGGAGTCCAACTGCAGAGAACTTTGTGGAAAAAAATCATACTCTATTATTAATGGTTCATGCACTATATTGAAATTTCAGTGTGTTAATACTTTGGTCCGTGTGAAAGACCATCTTGATAATGTGATTATGCAAATGACAGGCTTTAGGAGAAAGTGTTTAATTTTGAGTCCTCTGTAGAAGAAGGAAAACATTAGTATATGTTCTTTTGGTATTGCCTCTCCCCAGTTGCAGGACACCCTCTGAGATTCAGGGCAGACACTTGCCGGACCACACCGCTGCCGCAGTCGAGTGTGGGCAGGGGTGAAGGGAGCTAGGCGATTCCCTGATAACCCCGACCTCTGTCCACTGTGCTCCTCCCATCTAGTGTCTTTTGGGGGGAAAAAAGTGTATTACACAATTTATTTTGCTGTTTCAGGGCTCAAGGTGGCATGCCAGCAGGTGGCTGGTACATCAGTGCCTATGTTAACTCTTCCTTTCCTAGGTGCAGAGCAGCTGGCCGTGCCACTGATGCAAACAGAGGGGATGAGTCTGTCGCTTTTGTTCAGCTCTGGAAGCTCAGGTCCCCTGTGGTACTGCAGCACTCTGATATCATTCTAGCTTCTATTTTAAGAATAGCTTCTTCAAGAAATGTAGGTGGCTCAGGTTTTTCTTCTTTGTTGGTTTTAAGTTTACATTTGCAAACTCAATTTCTCTCTCCTTCTGCAAGGTGAGGCTTTTTTTTTTCCTGCATAATCACAGAAAATTGCCAAGGGGTTGATGTTTTTTTGAAGTGAAGGCAGATCAAAGTTGCGCATGTTTCTTGAATGAAGGCAGCATTTGCTCTTTCAGACTTTTACAGCTGATATTTGCTTACCAATGTGTCCCTTCTAATGCCAAGAGAAGTAGACAGTGTGCTCTAGATAGGACTGAGGTCCTCCTTATTAGTCATCTCTTTTCCTAGAGCAAGTGAATGACATAGTGGTCGACGTAACTGAGTGCTGTTGACACTACAGTTCCAGTAACTGATCCCAATGGTGAAGCTGTACAGATAATGGATTGCAGTTCATTGCCAGTGCAAACAGAGGTCCAAGCAGGCTCCTGTTGTTTCCTAGGCTTTAAAAAAATAAGAGCATCCCAATGCAATCACAAATTGTATTGGTATGATACACGCTATGAACTGGGGATGCAAAGAAGTCTCTGTGCAGCTGTCATTAAACCTGTAAGTGGATGTTTATTTCTTGTTGGGACTGCTGCTTTAGTAACCGTTAGTTCTTTATTCAAGTATGAGTTTTATAACAGATGAACCCAAGTCAGGAATTCACCCGGAACCGGGACTTCCTTCCTGACTCCATCCCCAACTCC